ATCAAATATGGATTAGCCAGTGTGATTTTTGAAATTGTTTGTGTGAAATTGACTATGTAATCTTACTTGCATGTGTAGACAAGCCTTTTCTGCTTCAGATGCTCCAAAATTGTTCTTACAACACCACCTAAATTCCTCAATAGGCAGGAGTAAAGAGAAATATATAGGCAGCTGAGTCTAACATATTTTGTAAGAAAATATGGGAATTGCTTCATCACAACTCAAACAATCTGTCCAGTTATATATTGTTCTATGAGGCATTTTAACCCCAAACTGTGGTGGAAATATTTGCTGGAATGTATTGATACCTTATTTTGCTAGTGAACTGGATTTGACCCTTCCCAGACTCAAAAATAACTCAGAAACTAACATTTGCTATGTAAACCACACGTCACATTGATTACCTCACTACACACCTTTAGGATAAACACTGATATTATTCACCATTAGTTAAACAGTAGGTATTTGCTTTGCATCTCCATGTATTAACATTCTGCTTATGTAATTAATACACCCTTGTGGATTATATTAGAAATTGTGACTTTTGTGTAAAAACTGTATAAAGGCCTCCCTGAAAGCTAAATCACCAACTGTAAATACTGCCCAACTGCCAAGAAACTAGCAAGGTTCACATACGCTGTCCTAAGCCATGGCCTGATTAATAAATAATTGTTATCTACAATGAGCTACCCTTGAAAACCACTCAGGAATATTAACTAGTTCAGAATGAAGTAGAATGAGCAATGGCGGGCTTATCTCAGAACACCCACTTCACACTCTAACTTTATGAACTGCACTGGTTGCTAGTGGGTAGGTTTATAGGTGTAATTCAGGGTGCTGGTTATCAAATGTTTGTGGAGATTCTCAGACATCCAGGTATAGTTGTCTCAAAAGTGCTTTTTTCAAAAGGTAACTGGACTGTTTTTTCTCTGGGGAAGAAGACATTTTGCTTCTCATCCAAGAAGTTTTATCGATTCTGGCCCGACTTCTTGGATAAGCCAGAACTGGTGAAGCTTCTTGGATGAGAAGCAAAATGTCTTCTTCTTCCTCAGAGAAAAAAACTGTCCTTTTGCTTTTTGAAAAAGCACCTTTGAGTGCTGGTTATCAGCTATAAAATCCTATGGTCCAGTTATTTGAGGGGCCACTTACCTTTCATGGTTTCTCCTGGCTTCTATGATCCAATAGAGTAGGCATATTCCAGGTCCCTTTGATTAAACAGTGTCATCTTTCCATCTTCTGGCATGAGGTCTTGAAATCCAGATGGCTCCCAGCCTGATGACATTCCAGTAACTTTAAAGACATGGCTGTTCTCCCAGGCCTTTGGGTAAGGTGGCGGAAAGCTCTTCTTTGACATATGTTTGACATATGTTGAATAAGTTGTGGTTGGATGTCTGGATTTTCCATCTCGTTTATTTACTTTATATTGTATTTTATTTTCTTATTGCAGTTCTATCATTTGTGTTTGTTTGTTTTTTATGTTGTAGGCAGCCCAGAGTCAGTCTGAAACCGAACAGTGCCAAAATTGAATAAATAATTTTTATTAGAGACTGGGACTAGCAATATAGAATTTTTACTCAGGGCAATTATTTCTTCTCTTAAATAGAAAATGCAAATAAAATTAAGATTAATACTATGGAATGATTTTAATAAGTTAATAAGTACTACCGTCAGTCAAAGCAACTCAAATCTTTATTACAGGCCTAAGGCTTTTTGGCCTTTTATACAGAACTATAATTAAAACTGTCTGACACACAAGACTAAAAGTTACATGGATTGCTTACTTCCTTCTGTTCCAGAGAAACACTATATTTTGGGATATTTTGTGTGTGTGTGTGTGTGAGAGAGAGAGAGAGAGAGAGAGAGAGAACAAAAATACATCTATCTCAGTAAAATTGTACATCATGTTTGTCTTTTTGAATTATCTGATATGATCATTATTTTAATCATTATTTTTTTGAGTTTCCTTGAGGTCTATGCTACATTAGTCTTTCCAAGCTTGATTTAGTTATGGATGAAGTTTCAGGAGTTAAAAAGAGAGAGCAAAGGAAAGAGAATTGGATGAATTATAGCAGTTTATTCTAGGGAAAACTTAAATGAACTTTTAAGATGAAATGTATCTTTCTACAGCTTAAAATCTTGTTTACTCCCAGAATAGTTCACGTATGTTTTGTAAGATGTAACTCATCTTCTTTCCTTTAACATGTTGACTGCATCCTCCTCTTTTGAGGCCTGAGAAAGTTTCTACTTTCCTTTTTTTCCCTCATGAATGTTGAATGCAGCATCAACATATATAAATATAGCAAGAGTACCTCATCGGTCTGGATGGGAAAACGATCACAGGCCAATTTGTTGAGTCACTTCAATCTCTGAAAGTAGCATGGGGAACCTTTCCTCTCGGCCTTGCTCCAGCTACCTTCACTGATGATGGTTCTGTTTGGTCATCTCCTGTGGACTTTTGCTGCATCACAGCCAGCATGACCTTGGTATGATGGAGTGGGACATTCATCTACCACGAGAGGGCAGAATAGCTCTGGCAAAAGGGAGAATGAAAGGAAGAAGAAAAAAAATCTGGTCTGTCAGAGTTTAAAGACTCATAGATTTATTGCAGCATAAGCTTTTTGCATCATACTCCATTTCAGATATATCTGACATTATGTTAGCGCGTGCGTGTGTGTGTGTGTGTGTGTAAGAGTGTGTGAAGGCTTGTTCCCATCACCTTGTGTGTGTGTGGGTTTTTTCATATGCATGCGTGGCTCAACTAATCTCTCTCAAATTGATGTGAGCCTTAGTGTGCCAAAGTTAAAGTTTTGGCAGCAGTTGCTATTTCCTGCACATCCAGATGGATATTTGAACAAGGACCAAGAGTAGTGATGCCACTTATAAGCGCGAGCTTTCATCTAACTTGGGTGCAAGGTAAGTAAGCCAAATGGTAACATGTCTATGAGTAAATCAAACCACAACTTACTTACTTGCATCTGACATGAAGATACAGATACACAAGATTGGCATTGATGTGATGACACGAAGACACAGGTATATAAGATTGGCATTTATGTGATGACATCAACACATCTATGTCATCATTTTGCTATCCTCCTGATGTGCTGCAGACACTGCTGCATTTCACAGCTCCACTCTTGCCTTCAATTCACTTAGAGATGTAAACAATGGGATCGTGGAAGGGAAAGTGTACTTCCCATAGCCCTGCCTTGTGGGAAATGTCAGTTGATTCCTGTCCAGTTCTTAAGAAAAACAATCCTGTGGTAGTAGTGTTTGCTTAAGAACCCTTGAGGAAGGTTGGGCTGAGAGAGAGTGACTAGCCCAAGCTCACTCAAATGGCGTTGGTGCCTAAGGCGGGACTACAATTCAGAGTCTTCTGGCTTCTAGCCTGGTGCCTTTAACCACTAGACCAAACTTGCTCTTTCAAGTAACTCTGGCAAATAGTGTACATCAGAAAACAATGAACTGATAATATCTCCCATTAAACATTATTTAATTTAACAGCCATTAGCATTAAAAGTAGAATTAAAGTAAGAATTGACGTCACCATATCACAAAGTTCTCCAGATCTAAAATATAAGAAAGCCAGATCATTAGACTTTCCAAAATTATGGGGCCACCTTAATTTTTGAGAATAACATGTTTCAGAGAGAGGTATCACTCTTATAAGAAGCCTGCTTGGAGATCCTGACTCTTTAACTTTTCCAGAAGAGTCTTCTTGGGTTGACTGAATTGGATGGGCAAATTCTATTCAGAAGAGATAATCCTGTAGATAGCCTGGATCCAAGAAATTTAAAATCAATAGATTGTAAAACCAGGATCTGAATTATATTCAGAAATCTATTTCCAGCCAGTTCAGCACTCACAGCGTAGCTGGAGGGAGGTCTCACTGGTTCAGTACAAGGAAGTTTGAAGAATGGGGTCAAAACTGTTGGCCTCAGCAATCCAATCATAACTCATCCTGGTTGTTTGTGTGCAATGTTTCTGAACTTTTAATGTACCATAGACTTTTTTTTTTTAGAAAATTGTCAAACTGGCACATGATTCCTGATCAGAAGTCCTGGGACTATGAACGATTGTGACTGTGTTCACTCAAATTGCTAAACTAAAAGTTAAAAATAAAAAAAATAATACCTTCACAGAATGTTATGTCTTGGAACCAAAATGGAGTCACAATAGTTTGATTCACACAATCCTCTAAAACAATGGCAGGGTTTCCTACAACATCCTGGATCACACATATCCAACCTATTAGCCCAGAGAGGTTGTTGCATGAACCCAACCTAGATGCTGTAATAGGAAGTTTCACTTGTACCCAGTTTTTCTACTAACTTGGCTCTGGGAGACAGACTAAAAAAAAGTTAAAAGCATCATGATGTGGAATGACAGCCCGTCTGGTAAGAGAAGCCAATCAGCAAGAAAGAGCTCATTCAGAGTTGCAACAAGCACCCTCCACTGCATTCTGAAAGGAGCTCCCAGGTAGCCTTGGATGATGTCATTCTTGCGCAGCTAGTTTTTTTTCTCCTCCAAAGTACGAAGTTTGGGACTCTGATCCTGCGATTGAAAGGAAGGGCTGATGGGAGGGAGGGAGGATCCTGACGGAGAGCTAGCGTTGGAAAAGAGAGAATGCATAGCTCCTGGTTTGCTTTTTCTCCCCCTCTTCCCCCTGAGGGTCTAGCCTCTGACGTCATCCTAGTCCCCCCCAGCAGACAATAGACCTCATTCATCCTTCCCCTTCCCCTCCCGCCCTCTCCCCGAACTGTTCCCACATAAAGAAGCCCATTCAGCTTCTCAAAGGGCCCCCTCCTCTCTGCTTCCTGTGGTTGGTGAACTCGTCTGTCAGTCAATTCTCGAGGGTTGTGTGGACCTGCCCTCTCAAGCCTCTCTTCTTGCAGTCAAAGATTCCCCTCTCAGAACAGCGCTGCGGCCACACCCTCTCCTCTTGGATTGGGCGGGGTTACAGAAGCTGGACTCCACCCCCTAGCCTTTGGCAGCTCAGTTGCGGCTGGGCCTTGGAAGTGTCGGGTTAGCGCTCGGCAGTCTGGTAAGGTACCGTAAAGCTTATTCGTTATTTTTCCCCTCCTTTTCTTTTTTCTTTTAAATTTTATGTATGGCTGTCTGTTGGGATTTTTCCCCCTTGAATGTGGCGAGTCTGCAGAAACGGCGAGAGGGGAGTCTCTGGATCCGCAAAATCTGCCTTTACCGTATGAAAGGCTAAATTGCTGATGGATTGTGCAGAGGTGTGTCCTTTTCAGTTAATTGGGGTGAGCTTAATTAAATCCCTCAAAGGGCAGAAACGATGGCATTTAGCTGATTTAGAGAAATCAGCACATGATTTTCTATTGCTTCCCCTGATTTTTTTTTAAACCCAAATTGCTTATGATTTTCCCATCCACCTTACCTGAAAATGGGCTGAGTGAGAAAAGACCAGTCAGCTTGTATCCAGCCACACTTATGTGGCCCCTGATGGTGAAATTGGGCCCCTGCTTTCCTTTGCCCTCATTTATCTAACTAAATGCCTAGCTTTTATTCACCAATCTGTGCCTTTAATTCCCTTTGTGGCTCTGCTACCTGTTTATATCCACTTCACTATTCATCTGTCAGTTTTCCCCAACCAGACCTTCTCTAAATATGTACATTTCATCATTCTTAACTGTCTCAACCTGGTATCCTCCAGACATTTCAGACTGCAGCTTCCATGTTAGCTGAAGATTATAGAAAAGCATCTGGAGGGAGGAGAATACATGGTCGAGGAAGACTTCATTATGCCCTTCCCAACTGCCAAATTTCTGCAGAGTCCTTTCTGAGCAAGCTCCCTCCTTCCTCCATCCCTGCTTAAATTTCCTTCTGAGCTTTGCTTCTTATGGATAGACATTCCTTTCGGTGACTCTGTAATATAAAAATGCCACTGCTTTGTAGGGGTAGAAATCATTGTGCTTGCCAGAGAGAACATACCTTTATGAGGCCATGCCTTTCTTTATAAAGTTTTTTTTTTGCTTCCTGAGTGGGTCATTGTATCTAATTATGAATCTTGATTAATGAGAAGAGATGTTTGCATTTAAGTGAATTGGCATCATTAAAGAGAATTTCATTCGGAGGCATTTGGAAATGACAAAGGAGAATGTATTACAGCTGCTGTTATATTATCCATATTGCAGGACTTATGTCAAGAAGAGGCTTGGCCTAGCTGTGGAGACCCAAGTAGCTTAAGATAGGTTTCTGGGTTTCAGAGACTATTCTGCTATTCTCTGCAACATCCCCCCTTCAATCTCATGACATTGCATGACTGTCTACATGTATATATCTACCATGTTCAAGTATGTAATAAGGAGACTATCCATGGACGGGTCATCCCATGGCAGCAAAGTGTGATGGGTGCACGCATTCTTTGGATTTAAACAAAGCAGTTGGAATTTCTCTGTGTTGTTCTCAAAATAATACCAGCTATTCCAGGAATGTGGTTGTATTTTTCCAGAATGAGAAAGGCGACATTCTTAAATTGAGGTTTTGAGGTTTTCTGCATGTGTCTAACCTCTAATTTAAAGCAGCTGAGAAAAAAACCTGAATGTAATTAAGCCAATTAGGTATTTTATTTGACTGTCCACCAAAATGAACAAATCAGATCTTGGAATGTTTAGCATTTGGAACTTGCCATGTCAACAGAATGGTGAATTCCAAAGGTGGGTAGCAATGTTAGTAAGAAAATAACAAAGTGTTCACTGGCCCTTAAAGAGAAATACTTTATATGGCATAGAGTTCTGTTATGAACTAGGGATAATTTCTGTAAATGGATGAACAAAAGAGTGGAAACTCTTGAACTCTGTGCTGGCCCTCAAAAGGAAAAGAGGGATGAAAATATGCAAAGGATTAAATTAGTGTTTGGATTTTTGAAGTTAGTGATCATTAAGCACCCTTTCTAAAACAGTAGATTTTTTTTAAATCATAGAAATGGTAAAGTAGAAATTAATTAAAACTAATTTGGTAAAATATTCATTTTCCTTTATATTTGCTACCACACCCAAATCAGATTTAAATGCTGTTTAAGACATTTGCTGGCTGTTTGGGTCCACATATTTGAAAGAACTGAATATTCTATTTTTGATTGGGAACGCATGTGTTTTAATGTTTCTGTGGCCGGAGATGCTGGCAGATATTTTATGGGAAAGGTGAAAGAACCAGCCACTTTAACAAGAAACATGCTGACTTAGCGTTTTTTTCCTCTGTGGGTTAGGTAATGGGCTAGAAGAGTAGATTTTTTTTTCTTTTTCTGAAGTGGGTTCTGAAAAATCTGGTTGAACGTGGCACTTGAGAAGAGAGCTAGTTGATTTTCTTCATTTCTCAAGGGTTTTTCCTGTAGGCCTTGTTTATGCAGGACTTGAGTAGCAAACAGCTACGTTGTAGGTCGTCGGCAATTGATATTTATAGCAGCAACTGGCATGCGAGTGCCATGAAAGCAGCCTGCTCCCTGCCCCCCCCCAACCCTCCTGAATGGGACGGAGAACTTGACAGAAAGCATTAGGGCCACTGAGACTTTGTATGAACTGCCTGGGAAAACAATTAGTAGGCTTGTGGTAACAACCCCTTGGGAAAAGCGTAGGAGCCATGTGGGCAGGCTCAGAGGTTGTATACTCTCAGACATAAACTTGACACACACACATGTCCTCGCAGGCAGTGACACACATTTGAGTTGGGTTTGTTATTTCAGCCTGTGACTGTGACAGCTATAAAGATAGTGACTGTCAGCCTAGAGAGCCTTTGAATATTCCCAAACCTGGCACCCAGCCGCTTACTTTCCAAAAGTTGGTTCTGTTCGTCTCCTTGCTCTAAATCAGTTTTCCCAAACGTTGTATAGAATCCTAGAATTCTCTGAAGTTTCATGAGATTCTAAGGGGTGTGTGTGTGTGTGTGAATGAAAGGCAGCCAGTTTATAATAATTAGAATTTTATCTTTTGAGTGGGTGCTCTCAATAATCACTTTTAAAAAAACAAAGCTTTCCACAGCCTGAATAAATTTGAAACTTCCTGCCTTAATGCGTTCCATGCATATTACATTGTTTATTGCACAATCCCAAATTCAAAACTTACCCTCTTGTCATTTTTCTCCTCTTTCCTTGCTTTTTAAGAAGTCCTAAAGCCCTGTCTGTAAGGAACAGCCCCTTGCTACTATAATCCTCTCATTTAGTTTTCTTCCATGAATGCTTCCCTGAGGAATTGCTGGCTGAGGAATTCTGGGAGTTGAAGTCCACAAGTCTTAAAGTTGCTTAAGGCTGGAGACCCTTGCTATAGATAACCTTTTGAGTAAAGCAGCCTTTCTGACTTCAGATTCCTGATGACTTAGGAAAGGGGGTGGGGAGAGAAGAAGGAAGGAAAGAAAAGAACTGGGTATCCGTAGGGAGATATATGATGGAGATGTTGCTTTAAGGAAATTGAATATGTGTCGTCTCTACAGAGAATATAGTGTGGGGCCTGTCTGGTTGTGCACTGGCATGGAGGATCAAATTAGTCCCATTTTATAGGCCTGACATGCATTCAGAAGGTTTCTAAAAGTGTTCATTGACTTTATTTGTAGCAGAACCATCCGCTTGGCTTGAGTATACAATTGAATCTCACTGCCTTAATTGGATTTAGTGTGTTGAAATGGTCACACCTGGAGAGCCAGGTGTCATGTACCTGTTTGTGGCCATAAACATGGATGATAATCCCTCTGAAACTGGATAATGTGTATTTTTGAAATGGGAATATGAATTTGCTGCTTAATTATTGAACGGAGCATTGGTACTTCCTATGGTGGCAGCTGATATCGTGCTGTATTATAGGAACAGAACCATGGCATAATTTAGTTATTGTTAGGCACACTTTGTTTGTCTGTAAGCAAATAATTTGAAAGTGAAATAATTATACTGCAGTATGAAAATGCAGAGCTGTGCTTATTGTATCTCTCTCTCTCTCTCTCTCTTGCCTTCATCTAAAAGATAAAGAAAAGAAGAATGGGCCATAAGGTTCAAGAAAATCAGGATTGTGGCCTTATGTGCAGTGACAGATTATTTGATATGCTGGAGCAAAACCTGAGGAAGAATTATGCTCCCTATCTCTTTCCCAGGAATCTATCGTACATCAAATGCAAATATGTTTTGTCATTGATGCTACATTTGGACCTGGAAGAGTGATAGCTGCCATAATAATAATAACTCTCCTGGTTGTCTTTCTTTAGCCTTCAAAGGTGCATGTGTGTAGTCCAAATCGGGAACAAGTCAAGAGTGCTGATACAGTAGGAGATGATCTGGAAAGCGAAGTTAAATGTGTCATCTGTTTGGAATAATAGCGCAGCCACAGGAGGCCCAAGTCCACCCCCTGTGAATTCTGTTGACCCTTATCTAGTGCCAATTTAGCTTTGACCATTAGTTGACCGGATTCTTCTCTATAGGTAGCAATAATAAAACCTTCTGTTCTTTGAACTCAACAAATGCTCCTGGTTATTTGCACCTGGCAAAAGCAGTTGTTTGTGCCAGTCAAATGTGGTGGGGAGAATGGAATGCCATGGGTGCTTGCTCGCTCCATGGCAGTTGCTTCCTGGCATGGGTAAATAGGTTGGAGGCAGGGAGAGAGGGGTCCCAGACATTTCCTAGTGTCATTGATGGAATGTGACACCCCAACTTATCGAAGGGGAATCCTCACTTATTTTTCTTTAGTGACAAATTCAGTCTGCCTTGCTCACCAAAGTTTAAACAATTATTATTTACAGTCCTTAATCAATGGTAAAGTCATACAGGATACCTCTTGGGTTGATGGAGCTAAGATAACTGTGAAAGTCCTTGGGCTCCTGCTGGGTGAGGGAAGCTACTGTCCTAGTTCCAAGAAGAGGCTCCTCAGATGTTGCTCCTAAGTTCATTTGGGAATGGTGTGTGTTAGCTGTGAGATGGGTTGTTCCTTGATTCATCGCATTCAAGCAAGCAGAGTGTGCAATTCAGGCCACCACCTTCTAGAGGTTAAGGCAATAGGAGAAGCAGCCCCCGCCAAAAAATATTCCAGTCATCCCAAGCAAAAC